AAGTACAAGTGTACTTATCTTCAGTTTTTAATTTTCGTATGTAAGTAACTTGAAAAATAAACTGTGTAGTGGGAGAAAACGACGAAAATAACAACAACCAAAAACAAAACCAAACAAACAAAGTAACAAAAAGCACTTACTTTTGATCAAATCTCCGGGTTTTTCCATCCTTGACATTCTTCGACTTGCCTTGGGTGACAGACCACCCGACTTGGTTCTCTCTGGTTTGTCCACAACACTCAGTTTGCTACCACTTCTACTTTTATCACTCTTGTCAGGACTTTTAAGCAACTTATCTTTCTCTCCTTTGTCACTCTTTGCTGATTTTTCTCTCTCTTTTGATTTAGAAGAATCCTTGGTACTTGGACGGTCTCGAAGGCTTTCACGGCTCTCTTTGCTTTCTTGATCTGGCTTGAGTTCATCGTTTTCTAGTCTTGGCGTTGAAGTCTTGGACTTTTCGTCCTTAATGAATAGATCGGGAAAAAAATACGAATCTGTGATCATGTACACAAAGATAAATGCAAGAGTTTCATCATAAGCCGGTCTAACGTCGCCTATAAAACCTCTTACCGCCGTCTGTTTAGCCTGCAAACTGGCTCTCGCGTTTGGGTTTCACCTTCGGCTCCTGTACAAGCATAGCGACCTATTGTTGTACACCGTCGGCAGCCGTTTAGGGAAAAAGTTATTGAGATCCCTGTACATGTAATGGTGAATACGTACAATATTTGCTCTACTTTCTAGGAGTTACAGTACTTTTACTTATCTTTATAAAACACTGTTATTGAAGCACTTTAACTGCTAAATACAATTCTCTCATCACACATTTTTCAGTGGTCAGTTTAATGTCACTTTAATATCAACTTCTCTAATTTGTAAAATCAAAGAGAGGGGAGCTACAGAGTAGATCGATGTTAGAAGATACTCACACATGTGGTGACACAAGGCCTGCATGCAGAGCTTTTTAATTACGGCTGTAGGAAAAAAATAACCTGCCAAAAAAATGCCATAAGAATTCTGGTGGCATTTCATTTTGCGTTTATCTTCTTCTATAGGATCTAATCTGCACAGATCAAGGACTATGGTTATTATAGGACATAAATTCTGTAGTACCTCTTTAACAGCGGCACCATCATCACTAAGCCCTTCTCTCTTTTCACCTGAAGTCTTCTCAGCGACATCCTCACCCTCCCCACCCTCTGTCTTTTCTCCATTGTCTTTATCGCCTTCTTCAAGTATCTCACCCATTGGCTTCTCAGGACGATATTTTAACCACCTCACAGGGGTCCTGAAAAGCAACAAGAAGTTTTGCAGTTTTAAAAGCGACTTGCTTTCTTGTCTGTGTAATAAAATAATACAAAATGACGAGAAGATATGAGTGTTTCATGGTTAAATTTTCACCTCTAAGTGACCACTCAATGTTTTATGTACGGTGTAATATTTCTTTCAGTCTACTATAATCATTTGTATCAAATGACCTGTACGCTTTCATTCAAAAACGTTAGACAAATATCTCCGTATGAGAGGCGTAGGCGATGCCGTAAGCGATGCCGTAAGCAGGGACGGAAAAATGCGAATAGACTCGCTAGATGCGAGTTGAAAAAAGAAAAAGAAAATGAGAAAGAGCGACGGTAACATGATACAGTGCTTATTGAATGAATCAAGTCATGCCGGACGGGACAATGATTGGCCCTCGGTCGGTCATAGCGTAAGAATCTCGCCGCGCTCAGCCCGTACGTCATGACCTTGAGCCAAACATTTCAGTCTTCCCATTCACTTAAAAAGTACAAAGAGAGCTGAACAAGATCAATCTTATTCCTACATACTTTGCTCTGCTGACAGGTATGGGGCTGACTTTGTGATTAAGAAAGGGAGATACAACTTCTAAGAACTGTGGATCCTTGGGAGGTTCTGGTGGAGTCAGCGCTGGCTCCACGGGCTGCTTCTTCTTCTTCTGCCGAATAAGCTTCCATCGAGGGATCTGAACTGGAGGCGGAGGAGGAACCAAGGGGCAGTCCCTAACTGTCGTCAACAAGACAGGGTGTGGGTGGTTATGTGACAAACCAGATTGTCGCAGTTTCTCAGATGCATCAGCCTTAAGAGAGGACAACAAAATTTTCTGTTAATAAAGGCAAACACTCAACCTTGCTCTCAAGGAATTTTTTTTCAACAAACAAATTTTAAATGTGGTGTACATAAGAGCAACCAATCTCTAAATTTGATTACTACCAGCAAAAAGACCAAAAGATCCGCTGGAAACAGAGAGGAGAAATAATCTAAAAGTCCTCTCAAGATGTGTCATAAATTACCATTCTTGACTAATGAACGTTTCTGATTTCATCTCAGGGTTGGTAACATTTTTTTGTGGGGTACATGTACCGATGCACCTCAAAAAGTTCTCTACCACCCTTACTGGAGTGATTGATTAAGCTGCAAACAAACAAACCTAACAAGTACATATGGTGTGCTGTGAGTGATCATAATAAGCATGTCACAGAAAATTATTGAATATTTGGAAGTGAGTAACAGAAATACGACTTGCGTTGCCAATGTAAGTAAGTTTAGTGTTTAAATAAAGTTACTGACAGAAATGAATGATATGTTCTTATGCAGCAGACCGCCACGTACTTACCATTTCTTTAAGAACAGAATGTCTCATTGGCATATTGGGTGGATGGGAATAACTGGCAAAAATCACAAACTCTGGCTCCTTTGGTACGTCAACAAGATATGCAGCTGGAGTGGCTGGAACAAAATAATGTGATCCATCAATTCAATTGCAGATAGCATGCTGGTGGCCACCTTGGAAGTGACTAATTTACATGTGGATTCAACACAAAATTGCACTGATGAGTTGAATCAATCAAAATTGTCAATTTTTAATAAAAAAAATTTTTCATGTCTGTGAAGAAAGGTGTAACACAAAATCAGAAAATGGAGAATGACTCCCTGGCATGCTGTGAAGAAGAAGTCCACTCTCTCTCCCAAATTCATGACATTTATACAAACTATTTTCATTTTCCTTTCAATTGATGAAAAAATGAATATTGCCAACCATACAATCAATTGGGTACCACAACATAACATCAGTTTTATCCAGTCACAAAAGAAACTGTAAAAACTCATGCTCCTTTAATGGTAGTGTGAAATTTTCTCAGTGACATTATTGAGTCTTTTCAATAAACTTTTGAGATGCCAAATATTTATCAGCATGTACAGATTATATCTATCAAAGTTACAAAAAGTCAGCAAACCTTTGTCTTTCTCCTTCTCCTTCTCTTTCTTTTCTTTTTCTCTCTCAACTTTCTCAGGGACTTGACTTTTCTCAGACTTTGTGGATTTTCTTTCCTTGTCTCTGTCGTCCTTTTTTCTGCATTCTGTGGCATGTTGTTTCTTTTCCTCTGGTGGTGGAGTGTTCTCAAGTTTCCAGCGAGGCAATGTTTGGAGTAGCAGTTTCCAGATTTCACCAGTATGACCACACCTTGGGGACACAAAAACCAAAGACATTTTGCAATTTTGCTCATGCACACCAGCCTACATCCGTGCTTAGTATCTCAGTTTTCTTTCTTGCTGAAACAATATTGATGAGATTAACAGAACTTATCTTTTAATCTCTCACTTCAAGGCATCCCCTATTAACAAGCATACCCAAAGCTGCATTAAGTCTAGGCTCACAGTTCTGAATTGATAGAGCATGAAAATGCATTCGCTCACAGCACATACATGTAGCAGGAGTGGAAAAGCTTGTTACCTCAGTGGAATAATCTCTGGCATCCACCCTGTGAGGGCATGAACCACAGTGAAGTCACCAAACTCACAAGCATTATAACCACCAGCATAACTAAAGAGAAAACAAAAAAAAAAGACATGCTTAGAAATTTGAACTTCATTTAAAAGCATTGCTTAAAGCGTGGTTTAAATTGTTTAAATTTCTTAAGTTTCAATTGCTTCTTAAATGTACACAATTCAAGTAACTTCCATGCTTCATGCAAGCTGCAACCATTTAGGTCACCATAGAAAAAGATATATTTTGGTTATAAAATTTGCAGTAAAAGTTGCCACTTTGGCAACCTGTGTTGGGTGGTCAGACATGTAGCAAGAGATAATGTTTTTCCTTCACAATGTTTCCAGCATATGGTTAAAGTTGGATAGGCTTTTGCCAAGAACACTTATTATATCTTGTCATTGTCTTTTGCAGAATATTGCTTCTGCCTTAGTTGTGCAAATACTGTGCTTTAGAGTGTCTCAAAAATCTTAAAAAAGGATTGCTGGCCATACTGCCTATATTCAAAGATTGGTATAGTGTCACAATAACAACCCTATTTCATCATTTCAAGTCACCTAAAAGTGACTTTGGAAAAACTTGAGTTACACTGTAGGAGCACCAAACTAATAAGAGAGAAATCATGCTTACTCTAATGAAGCCACTTTAATGAGAGCTTTTGACAGTAACATGGGCCATAATTCATGCTCATTAGGTGAAGCAGGTAACATAAGTTTGCCATCCTCATCAAAGGGCATCCAGTCATCAACTGTTACTTTCCGCCAAGTACCCTAAAAAGACCATCACATTCCAATAGTCACTTAAATGTTCTTTTAAAAGAAAATGAAATATAATTACACAATCAAAAGGGCAAGAAGATAGTGACCAATGAGAAAAAAGAATTATAACAGCTCTTGCAAGGTCTACACGATTATTGCTTCACACATTGAACATGCCTTCCCATTCTTTAACTTTTGTTTATGGACTGCAACTTTATCTTAGTTTGAATCATACAGGGGCAAAAAAAAAAAATAGAACGTAGCCAACTTAAGCTAAATGTATCCTCACAGGACAAATTTGGTCAATAATACATTTAAATATCAAATGAACAAATCCTCACAACAAAGAATTTTGCAATGGCAGGAACAAAGCAAGCAATTGTGCTTGCATACCCCTGTGCGAGAGGACTATCTTCCAGAGTTACTCAAGTGCAGTATCCTATCAGAACACACAACCATGAATGTTTTATCTTGAGGAGAAGTGAAGAACCACCTTCATGAAATAAAATTCAATATGACAGAAGTGTTAACTCACCATCCAGAATATTCTAACACAGTACTTCCCTCCAGGGTTATAAACAGGAAGAGGACTGCCTTTAGTTTTCTCTTTTGGCCAAATGTGATTCCATGGTTTCCATGTGTTGTCTTCTAACAGAGCATCTTTGTCTTTCTCTCCTCTGTCTTTATCCTTCTCCTTGTCCCTCTCTTTATCAGCTTTGTTGCTCTCCTTGGTATCTTTAGCACCTTTGACAGTCTCTATTGGGTCTACTTTAAAGTGAAGTTTCCATAAGCACATCACCTGACCTATGATACATCGAAGCAGCTGCAAAAACACATTCTGTGTCAGAATCATCTACTACTGACAATAAAATTAATGATCTCACTCTTTTAGAGTGTATATTACATTTATTTGATACATTTACCTGTAAATACCTGTATGATAATCATAGACTGGGAGGATATCCACGCCAAGAAAATGATGAGCCACAGAAATTGAAAAGGGCCAAGGTTCAAGAAGCCCATGAACCAAAACAAGTAAAGGAACTCTAATAAATCCAAGGTTTATTTTAAGGAGGATCAAGAGGGTGGAGGAAAGTTTCAACACCAAGAAACAAACATTTATTATTGAATAAGGGGTATGAATCACCAGGGTCCAACTACTGTATTTTCTGGCAAGTACAGTGTAATAAGTATATACCATTAGTTATATGTAGGTGCATCAATCACAGTTCTACTGAAAAGTAAACAAGGATTGGCATCATACCTCACTGTTGGTCAAATGATCATTCACTGAAAGTAAATCTATCTCCTCTGCCAGACTTTTTGGATCAACAACAACTGGTGACTGAAGTGGTAAATAAAGGACACATTTTCTTGACAGTGTTTTACTTCAGTTCTTGAAGGTGTTAAAATATTATAATTCAAAAACATAATCTGCATGAGAATTTTCAGCAATTGAAATGACTTTAAAAGATACATGCCGAGACCAAGAAATCATAGAAAGACACCATACTAGACTACATTTAGGCCAACACAACATGGCTTGACTGTTTTTGCACAAAAATCTATAAAGTACACCCTGTATGTAGATCTACTGTGGAGAAGTCAACACATAGCATTGGTTCAACTCAAGCTCCAAAAATTAAGAGATAAGAAACATTTCATCAAGTACCAGCCACACCCTTTTTTTCTAAGGAATATATGACGAATAGCTTAAGTGGCTTATTGACAGAATCATTAGAAATAAACTGAATGACTCATGTGTACCTTTTCCAACATAAACTCAACAGGTTTCTTCCAGTGATCCACATAAGACTTAATTGAAGATGGTAAATCTACCCTTCCTTCAGGATCCTCATAAGGATGCTGTGAAAGGCATTTAGGTAGTAGTTGTTAGTGGAATATAAACCTTTGAATGCACTAAAGTGATGTATAATTCTCTAGTTATTATATATTTATCTTAAAGACAGGTGAAAATTTAATGTTTTGTGTTAAGACTAAAATAATTTCCTTACTAGATTTGGACTTTTGCCCTTTTCTTTTTCTTTTGGTTTGTGTGATGTATCCTGAAAAATAATAAAGCAAAAAAAATAAGGGTGATTTGATTTACATTAATCCAGTAGCTCTACTGGTAGTTTCAGCCTTATATTTCAATATTATACAGGGTGAGATTGTAGTCAGTTCCAATGGATTGTGTGGGCAGTAAGTGGTGATTGAATTATGTTCAATAAAATCTGGTTGGTTTTTCAATCTATAGAATTGATATCTAAATGAATAAGGTAAAAGACTTCAAAATAATAATGCAAAAGTACTCTAAAGTTAATATCATAACTGAATTGCCACAGATCACCCTTAAAGTCCTACAAGTTTACAACATTACGGTACACTGTCTTTGCAATTTTTTCTTCATTTGTAAACCACATTAGACTGTAGATTTAACACAGATGTTATTCAGATGTCTTGTAAGTACAGTCATTTTTCAAGTACCCATTTTTCCTGACCAATATCTTGTTCTGTCCACTCAGGCCAGATGACAATGGGTGCTTTGGCCTTTTTGTTTTTTTCATCTTTTTCATTCAGTGATCCTACCACACTAGGTGCCACTGACTGCCTATAGAAAAAACAATGCACATCACATTGTAAGAGAAACTGCTATCATAAAAATTAATCAAACATGAAAGGACAAAGTAACTGTGCCTCATACAGTTTGTTAATAACCAATTCTAGCACTGTGGAGGACAATGTAATTTGTGACAGTATTATTCAAGACTCTCATTTCTTAAATTCCTATTGTTCAAGTTGTTTGAATTATGTACATGTCTTAGATAAAAGTATCCAACAAGCTACAATGTACAGTAATCCAGTAAGTTGTTAGAAAGAATTACATGGATGGTAAGTACCAAATCCTGTCTTGCCAATACATACAACTACATGATTGTACATACATGTACATATAAAAATAAATATATTTTAACCCTATGATACCAAAGAAGCAATGCTGTTACACCTTCGTAATTTAGTGCTCCCAGGATTAAGCAAATGACTCATCTTGCCCACAAAAACGTCTTTCACTGTATCAAACAACAGTTCTTGTTTGTTACAGTAGAACTTAGGGACAGTCAGACTCAACAAATTGCAAATAAAAATATCGTCTGACTGTAGACTTCTCAACAAGGTGTCTTAGCAACCCAGCTATTCCAAAATCAAATGAAAAAATGTTGACAAAAGGCAAATTTACATATGATGGCTTCAAAACTTGATGTAAAACAGATTAGTTACTATGAAGAACAATTGAGGATCTACTCTCAAGATCTATCACTTTTTGGCTTTTGGTAAGGTTAGTATGTTGAGATTCATGAATTGCATTTCAAAAACAAGCTGAAGAGGGATTCCAACATCTTATAATTCACTGCATGATGAAACTAATTGAGAAAACTTGTAATCAGATAATGTCAAGATTAACCAGCCTTGTGTAACAATTATTCACCAAAGGCAAAGTGAGTAATCCCCTAGATGAAGTCAAAGAGATTATTCCACACCATTATCTTTGCCTTTGGCAAATAATTAAATGTACAGTATAATTGCTCAGGTGCTTTCAAATTCTGTTTAAATTCATTTCGGGATTAAAACCATTCTGTAAATAAAGAAAGCTTTGCACATATTTTGCTATAACTGTTTTGATTACTTGTATCATGCTTGTTTCTAGAATTAGGTAAGTTCATTTATTATAACTAAATACAGCAGCAAAAAAATTGTGTTACCCCAAACTTAATGGTATTTTTTGTGCTCTTCAGAATTGAATTTTCTGTTATTGCATTTATCACTTCCTCCGAAACATTGACAAGTTAAATAGGAGGCAGCCGTTGTGAAATTCAGTGCCCCTGTTATAGTCACTTCACACAAAGTAATTATGGCAAGGTATGATGCAATCCTCAACCAATCAGAGCATGTGAATTTATAATTATCTGAGTAATTATACCAGAGGCCAGATAAGAAGTTCTTAATTCTTAGAGCATCTAACAAGAACTGTAGAGTACAGAAAATCCATTGCTCTGTACAGAAAATCCATCTCTCTGTTCAATTATGGCAATAATGTATACATAAATTTTTATGGTATCAATACTGAGCATCAGTTACATTATGAAAAAAATCTTCTAACACATTGTACATGACAAGGCATGCATGCAGGTATACATGTTCAAGCCATACATGGCCATTGTGCTGATAAACTAACGCAAATTTCAATGTACAAGAAGTTCACTTCACCTTAGATTAATTAACAATGTCACTGAAAAGGATTATTAATTTCTCTGTGTATAAAAGTACAATAACTCTCTGTTGGTCTAACTCAATTATGAAATAACTTGAAAAAGGAAATTATAGGCTTAGAAAACAATGCAAAATCATGTGGGAATTGAAATAACTTGAAATTATACTGAATTAATGCTCAGAATTATGTTTGCAAGGCTTCTCAAACATCAACAGTAACTACATCCAGAGAAACTGCAACATAATGTAAGGTTTTTACAAACTAAACAATGGAAAAGTAGAGAGAGATGCGTACAGCTTTCAAGGCTCTTTATGATAAAAAGTTAATCATTCTTCCCTAAGTCATTCTGAATGAATGATTAGAAAATTGTGACATTATGAAAAATTATGCAGATCTGCTTTTAAGAATTCACTCTAATCACCCATGTATGTAAATGAAGTGTGTTTGTTTGTATTGTGCCAAGGCTTCAAAAGTAAACAATGATATTCTAAAAGGGCTTTTGCAAAAGATATCCAGCCTTTGTTATTGGTAGCAAAAATAAATATGCCAATTTTGACAGCAAATTGAAATTCTGTCAAACCAAATATTATTACAGCCATGTGGCAATAAACGAGTTAATATCGAAAATGAACACACATATTAAAAAAGAAAAGCTGTAAAGGCTCTGAAAGACATACAGAAGTATAAAAAACAACTGGATCAAAAGAAACGTACAATTATTGCTTTTGTCCCTGAGATTCGCAGGGTCCTAAAAGTTAAACATCGATAGTCCCGGTAAGTTAAAAATGATTGAAGGTAATGTGGTCCTTTATATTCACGAGGCAAAAACCGCTAGTCGAATTCATAATTTAATTGATTCGTGCAGCTCATTCTATCTATCGTAAGAGATTAAGTATTGAGAAAGACAATCGGTTGATCGACTCCAAAAACCAGATCCCATGTATGGTAGCTGTAACAGATTTTACACCTCACGTGAATATTTCGCACGCAAAGAAATGAATCCAGCTAACTCAAGCAGGTGTTGCATCTGTTCCTGTGTGTATTGAAACAGTAGAAAAGAAAAAAATTTCTTCAACTTGCCTAAATTTGGCGGAGGATACCGTGGCGAGTCTCAAATCCTTCCACTGAGATCCTCGTGAACTCATCTTTCGCGAAATTTAGAAGGGGAACCAGTGACCTCACATTCAACTTATTGCTATCACAACAACAGACGAACTTGTTTGCAAGCTTAATATCCCGTTGCCTTTAGTTGACAGCACTTATTTGTTAACGTGCCAAATTGTGTTAAGATCGCGCGCAATACGATGGTCTTTTTGTCTTATTTAATTTCACTATTGTTCTCATGGAAACCATCCCGAAGAGTTTTACCACAAGGAACCTAATACCTCAAAGTCACAACCTATAATTAGTGCTGAACGTCACAAAACGTTATCTGCCTCAATATTGCATTCAGGAAACAAGATGAAATACAGTTAAGAACATACTCGCATTTCTAACGTTGTTTTTTGTCATGGACCAACGATTGTAAGCTCAAAGTAAAGCTGTGTAGGAGCTCATTATTTATGTGTGAAATCCCGGTGAGACTCTCACAAATTGACTTGATTTCTTTGTTTTCAAAGGGAAAAGGCGAGATACCTTTGGTAGAATATTATTTCAAAATGCAGTGAAAGTAAAGGCTGAAAATAAATAACAACATTCGACCGAAAACTCTTTAAAATAATCAGGTTGTGTATCTTGATGAGATGAACCGAAAATATTACAGTCTCTGACTAACTTACACCAAACCTGTTTCAACTATCTACAAATGCTCCAAGCTACCTAAACTCTTGATGTAATGAAAACTTTATCCATAGTTATACTTCTATATAACTTAGACTTCTATGTTAAATATATATTAACAATCTAGGTCGAGAATTGTCCAAGATGTCCGCATGGATCAAGTTTGAAGGTCATGTCATTTTCAATGCGAAGTTTGCCGGGCATCGAGTCAAAACAGAAATAAATTTCCTTACTCTGGAATGGTTCTGGCAGCAGAGGCAACTCTCTCTTTGGATTCTTTCTTCTTCATTGCCTTAGAGGCCATATTTATCCAAATTTTCAAGTATTTTGGATTTTGAACAAAAGTTGATCTTCAACAAAGCAAAGATTTGTTGTCACGTCAACCGATGATACTCTCCTCAGTACCACTCGGCCAAGTTAAACGCGCTGGATTGGGTTCCGCAATAGGGGTTGGGGCATGTTGGGTTGGGGTCGGATAGGTAGAAGCAAAATCACCAGTGTAGCCTTCTTCTTATTTCTTCTTATTCCTTGAATTTCTAGGAAACTTTGAAAAGTATAATGGAAATGAAAACTGGAAAAAAAATGAAATGTTATTTTTTCGGTTTTTTCAGATTCCCAGTAGCTGAGTAGCTACAGGGGCTCCTAGTAGCTACACATGGTTCAAGGCGGAGGCTTCCGCTTCTTGTAATTAATATTTACAAAAAAGGAGAAAAATTTGGCGTCAGTTACCCTTTAAATCACGTTTTCCATCATGTAAAATAATCGTAAGACACATCATGTGAAAACCAATGAAATGAAACACCCACCGAGCAGTGTTTCTCATTTCCCCTAATGACTACTTACGGTGTCTTCTTAGTCGGCGACGGAGAGTCGCCACTAGTCTTAAGCTTCCATTGCGACAGTCGACTTTTGAGCACCTTTGTTCTCAGCACTTCTGAATGTAGGTTGCTTATCGCGGAGCCCGATCTTGGTGATACCGCTGACGAGCGGGGACTGGTCGGAGTAAATCGGGCATCCATGCTGGCTTAAACGACAGCAGAAGGGCTCTGTGATAGATTTTCAGAAAAATATTGATTAAATCAAATCTAATAAGGATCCAAGTAGATAAGGGCTTAGTCCGGTACATTTAGCTTCAAGAGATAGCACTAATGCTACTCTC